GCTGAGCCAGGTTGGAGCAGCCCCAGGCTGGCAGGCTGAACTCCTGGATCCCATGACAGCTGGAGCTGCTCCAACCTGATTCATCCCAGGTGCGTGTGTAAATGTGGCACCCAGGAGCAATAAACTCCAGTGCGATAAGAGCCGGAGTTTATTGCTTCACCTTAATAGCACATGTAGACATGCTCACCATGGACTTAACTTGTGGCACACTTGCCAAAAGGTTGGCCACCACTGGTCTAAATCCTTGACAGTAAGATCACCAAAGTAGGTACCTGTTTATGTGCTAGTTGACCTGCACGCTGCTGAGCACAATAGGGCCCCAAATCATGTCTGGAATGCCTTTGCATTACCATACTAGCTACAATAAATAATTAACATTGGTATGTTTTGACTGGGAAATTCAAAGCACTGTAATATCATTTCCTAATTATATTACCTGTTGGGAACCATAATAATATAAGGCTCATTAAGGTAAGGGGAGGAGAGGAAGAAAGAAAGTAGTTCTGAAAGAAGAACCACTTTTCACCATGCCCAGATGCTCACTGGGGTGGGCAAAGAGGAGGGCAAGGATTCTTCACAACCATAGATACCTATTCACAGGGGCAGTAGTATCAGCAAGGGGAAGGATGGAAAGACTAACTGCATAATCCATGGCACAGGGTGAGGTGGGTGCAAAAGAAATTAAATCAAAGAACAGTAGGTTAATAAAGACCATAATAAAGACAAAGAGAAAACAGGAAAGAAGAATGAGGTCACTGTGCAATGAGAACAAGACAGAGATGTAAAGTAATACACACATGACAAAAAAGGTACAGTAAAAGCTCTGTTATCCAGCATCCCCCGGGAATGGGGGATGCTGGATAACAAAATATGCCGGTTAATTGAGAGGCCCAAGTAGAGGTAGTACCTGCATCAGACCTACAATTACATCATTGTGCGTTTGCAAAATGCATCTTTGCCTGTTTGGGCCGCCGCTTCTCCCGCCATGTCTAGGGCGTCACCACCCCTGTGGGCCCTGCCGGACAGGGAGGCAGGCCCCGCACAGCTTGTATGCCCCAGGCTATGAGGGCTTGGCAGTGCAGGCTGGTTTGTCCCAGGTCGTGGGGGCTCAGAGAAACCAGAAGTGACATGGTGGGCACTTTTAGTTTCACTCTACCTTACAAGCTGGCATGCTGGTTAATAGAGCATGCCAGCTTGTAAGGTGCCAGTTAACGGAGCTTTTACTGTGAATAACTATTTCATTTCAGTCTTCAATAAAGATGATGTTGACCATTAAGGACAAAGACAGGATGCCCAGACTCCTTATGGAAATGAAAATGAAAGGAAAGCTCAAATAATTTACTGTACACTTAATCTGAGGGGAAAATGACTAGATAATCTATGACAGACTTCTAAAACCTCACATATCTAATTGTAGGTCTGATGTAGGTATTTTAAATAAATCTACTAGATGTGGAGTAAGGTGCAGGACAAAGACGTGGTTGACAGCTGAAATACCACATAACAGAGGGTATATATGACTGGAGAATAACAAATATAATGCCATATATTTAACAGATGTAGCTGGAGAAATGACCAAGGCAAAACAGGTTCTTTGGTATGAATTCAATAGTATGCAATGCTTTAGAAAAAATTTTAAAGGGAAAAGCAATGGAAAATAAGATAAAATACAACATGGTTTTACCAAACATAGATGATGCCAAACTAATCCAATGTCTTTCTTTCAAGGTACTACCCCCAAAAAGATAGAGAAATGGCAACACTATTGTACAAGGCTCTTGTCAGATCTCATCTGGAGAATTCTGTACAATTCTGGTTAACTGATTAGATCACCCATTGCCATCATCAGATGTTCCAGGAAACTGCAATTCATTTAAAGTGCCCTTTGAATTAGGGTAATTATACCGTTGCCAGGACACCTGTCCCAGTGATTCCATTAGTCTCTTCAAATGAACACTTTCATCCCAATTTCAGACCCCTTTTCCCCACCTCCAGCTGTCAAGATGAGAAACTGATAAGAATGGTACCCTCCCTCTTGTAACATACTCTCCAGTGTCTGGAACTGTTGTGTGCGCCAGACAGTATGGGGAAAGGGAGGCCTGTTCTATTTGGAAAGTCAAGGAATATAGTCACTCTGCTTTGGACCAATGTACTTATTGCAAGTCATCAGCCATCATCTGCAGCAGGGCAGACACTGAAAAACGCACTTTGTGAAGAATGCATAATAGATTATTTTCAACATTAAGTTACCATCCTTCTTGACTTATCCTTTAACCTTCAACAAGCAAATTGTATTCTTGACAGATATTTGACCATGTTTTAATTCTGAAACCCAAAATTTACTTTAAAGTTTCATGATCTTAGCCCTAGTTATCCTCGTATACATTTGAATCTCCTCCAAACATGTCATAAACAGAGCATAAATAGAGGATACACATATTGCACCAAACAAACCAAATCTCAGAATGATGTGATTTTAAAAGACTGAAATAGAGGTCTCCAAAAATAAGGTTTATACATAAAACATCAGCTGAAAAGTTTAACTTAGTGAGCCTTCATCAAAGGGAAAAATAAAAAAAAAGTACAGTTGACTGTTTTGCAATGAATTGAAGGTGAAGGAATATAGCGTGCAAATATTTAATCAACAGTAGCATTTTAAGAGTACTTAAAATGTACCTGTACTTTAAACAAATTCCTTAAAAGGAATTCGGTTTATGGAGAAAACAGTACTGATTGAACCCCCACAATGGTAACTGCTGCAACATCAGCAAAATAAACTATGGCTGCATTGACAGAGGATGACAGCATGGGGCTGTTTCTTATATCAGCTGGAAGTATTATAATTGGCTTAGTCAGGGGTGGTCCCCTGCTGCCAAATTTCCAGACCCAGGGGGAGCCCAGTGGACCAGACAGCATGCCCCTGCGTGTTAAATTAGATGTGCAGAGATGAGGTGGTGTGGGTGGGACCCAATCCCAGCACTGTCTCCTTGAGGGATCTGTCCCATGGACCAGCCCTGGCTGCTCATCTGGCCCACAGGGCTAAAAGGCTGAGCACCAGCACATTAAATGAAGAGTGTACCAGTAGCACCTGAGAAACTAACGTTAGTGTGGGAACCCATTGTTAGGGAACAGTCCTCCTTTCACAAATTGCACTCCACTTGCCCATGTGGAAAGGGCATGAGAGTCATGGTTCTCACCTTCTGCCTCTTCTGGGACTTAGAATGTTCTACCACAGATATTAGACTTTTCTCACTCCTTTTGTTGAGGGAGAGCATGGACCAGAACTGTGGGTGTCTCTGACAGAAATCTAAGGGAGCTGAAGGTCTTTCTATTCCCTCTGCGCCTAATCTAGGGCCATCTTCAAACTAGTTCCCATGTTTGCATTACAATTGCATTACAGTACTTCACAAAATGAAAAGGGGAGGGGGTGGTGGGAGGAGGGAGGCATGGGAACAAACTGCATTCTCCAGTAACAAGACATAAGTAGTTTTCTGGTCTAAAACCTGAGTTGTCTTTAGCACCACAACTAATTAATGATTTCGCTGGGAGTTGCTAGAGTTCAATGCTTCTGAGAATCAGGCCCTTAATTGGCAATGTAGCAGGTTCTGGCCAATTATCTAGACCTAATTCAAGACCCCAGGGACAGCTGAAACAAGCTGTTTTTTGCAAATACTAATTCGTTTTCTCAAAATGTGTAAAATGCATCTCCTCTGACACAGTTCTTCAAAGCCAAGCATAGTGCATATGAGAAATAAAGGGAATGTTTTAGTAGGATTCAGTGGAGTTTGGGCAACAAATTCTGAGTGCTCTGGAGTGGATCACACAAAAACTCAACATTTTTAATGGTTATCATTATTATGGTTAGATATTTCAAATACATTATTGAATTACAGACCTCTCAAGCATTTAGGGATGGTTTCAGTCCTGCTTACTTAATACTGGAAACAAGTGTATGAAATGTTATAAATAAGGACTTGCCACAGCATCCTTCTGCTCAGAGCAACAGAATAATGGGACAGAACCAAAAAGATAGCTATTCTGTTCTGTGTGAGCTACAAGGACTCTGACTAGGGAGAGATATCAGCAGACTGTATCAACTGATCCAAACCACCCACCAATTTTGATTTCTTTAACTAATGCTGATTAAATTTTAATTGCTGTGCAGTTAAGTAGAGAGGTGCTATATGCTGTATTATTAGCAACATTATTTCTTCATGGGGTTATTTTGGTGGTGAAGATAAGGGCCCAATTTTGTGAGCTCCCTCATACAAGTCAAGAAAACTCAAAGCCACTCAGAACTCCAGGAGCTACCCTCACTTGTGGCATAAGTCAGAGAATCTGGCCTTACATCTCTTTTTCCTTTTTGGAGAATCAGAACATTAATTTGTAATGCAGTAGGCTTCAACTAACTACCTAGAACAAACTCAAGACCTCAGGGGACAGTTGAAACAAGATGCCTTTTGTAAGATACTAATTTGGTTTACTGAAATGTGTAAGGTGCATGTTAGAATCACAGAACCTTCCCTTATGGTTGGACAGGATCTCAGGAGGTTATCGAGTAACTCCCTGCAGGACCATCCCTGGCTATATCATCCCAGCCAAGGCTTTGTTTTCCCTGGTCTTAAAAATCCTCTTCTCTGATGTAGTTCTTCAAAGCTAAACAGAATACATCTGAAGCAACACACTTTACTTACAGTAGCCACATTACAGTGAATAATTTTCTTTTAAAGCATAGAGCTATTATTTTGTTCGGCGTTACTTTATCACTTGCTGTGCATATTGGGCAGTTTCGAAGAACAGGATCACACTGTCTATACATCTTGGCAAGTCATCTTATCAGTGCTAAACTTCATTTTTCTTAGTCAATATACTGCATATTTGTAAAATAATCTTCAGACTCATGTTTGATACTGTTCTGAGTTATCTTGCCAGAGGATGACAGGGAGAAAGAAACAGTAAAACGTAAAAAAGACACTGGTTTCATGACACTTAACACTTACAGCAGCAAGCTGGAAATGTGCTGTTGATTTGTTCCATGACATCTGTTAAATCTGTGCTGGTATCGTGAGGTGGGACTAACAAATCATCTGCACCTATGCCAACAAGATGAACAAGGGATTTAATTAGAAAAGGAGAATGGACAAAACAGAATATGAAAGTCATCCCCGTCCAACCAGGTAAATGCTCCTATATTTAAATCAAAAAACTCTACTTGATGCCTTTGTAGTTTAATGTGCTTTAATTGCTTATTGATAATTGCCAGTCTTGGGGGAGGGAGGTAGATGTTTAAATAATCAATTTACAGTTGATCTAATTTCTCTATTATTAAGCTTCAACAACTGCGCTTGAGATTTAATGAAAAGGAATTGACCCCATGAAGCAGGATGTGAGAACTTACTGTTAGATTAAATAAATTATTCTCTCATCTTGTTGAGAATAGTTGGCAGCTGCACTTTTCATATTCCAATCTATTTTCAAACAATTTGTCATGTTATTTTCAAAGCAAACACATCATACAGATTTTTTGTTTTTTTTATCTTCCAGCAGTCTTCATTCACTATGAATCATCCACTCCACCAGTGCTGATATTCTTTTTTTTCCCCTTAAATGGATGCTCAAAATTAACCCATGGAATGATTAGGGAATTCTGGATGCTCCGATTTGATGGTATTATGCAACACCATTAATTGATCAATGTATGACAATAGCATATTATATATAGTTCAGAATATATGTCAGTATAAAAATAAAATCTGGTAATACTCTTTGAATGGTTAACATAACAGTACCCAAGTAATAGAAATCCAAGTATCTGTAATTTGGGCAATCTGTAGACCAGGAATGGTATTTTCTCATGTATTTTTAGTAAAGATTAATCTTGTTTTTCTTACTGAGTTTAGTTTCTCCCTAATTTTCAAAATGCAGCAATCTGCAATAGTTCCCAATCGCCATGGCAAATTATCAAGGTTCCAACAGCATAAGATGTAAAATAACCTCTTAGGGAAAGATTCCTCTTAGGGAGAATATAATATAGACTGACACAACTTATGCCCCATTAGGGGTGTTTTGTTTGTTTTCATCAGCATGGCAGTAGAAGTAGAGCTTCAGAATGACATTTACAATATGGAAGCTAAAAAAGCCCAACTCTTCCAATTTGCTATCTCTACATGATGAGTAATTTTGTCACTTGTCCTCAGACTGCAGGATGCATAGATCTGCTGTGGTTACATCAGTCTAATGGGAAGGAAGACTGTCATCAGTGCATGAAAGAACTGCACCAGTAATTCTCTTGCTTGAAAGGCAAATGACACTAAGGTCCCTGGCAGAAGTTACACTGAAGATGTGATTAACCACTTAATCATGTTTTAAGTAGTAACTTGACCACACATTCATGCAATTAATAGCAAAATGAAACAAGGAATAAGCTCCAAAGTTATTACACAAACTACGTGTAATAGATTTCATAGACATTCAGGCTGAAAGGGACCCCGGAGGATCAGAGTCCAGCCCCCTGCCCCAGGGGCAGGAGGTCAACAGGGGTCATCGGATCCCAGCAAGATAAACATCCAAAAGTGTCTTGAAGGTGTTCAAAGTGGATGCTTGAACCACCTCCAGAGGCAGTCTATTCCAAACTTTGGGGGCTTGGTCAGTATAGAAGTTCTTCCTTATGTCCAGCCTGAAACAGGTGCAGAGGAGTTTGTGACCATTCGACCTTGTAACCCCTTGGGATGCTCTGGTGAACAGGGGTTCCCCCAGATCCTGGTGAACACCCCTAATAAACTTATAGGTGGCCACCAGATTGCCCCTGAGCCTGCGCTCTTCCAGGCTGAAGAGTCCCATGGCTCTCAGCCTCTTGTCTTAAGGTCTGTTTTCCTGACCTCTGACCATGTGCGTGGCTCTCAAGCTTCTCCACATCCTTTTTGAACTGTGGAACCCAAAACTGGACAGAGTACTCCAGCTGTAGCCTCACCAAGGCCGAGTACAACAGGAGAATGATGTCCCGGGATTTGCTTGAGAAGCATCTATAGACGCAAGCCAGCATTTTGCTTGCTTTACTCACCGCAGAATCACACTGAAGGCTCATGTTCATCTTGTGGTCATTCATGACCCCCAAGTCCCTTTCATCTGTAGTGCTAACAAGCATAGCAGTGCTGAGCCTATAAGCATACTGCAGGTTTTTCCTCCCAAGGTGGAGAACCTTGCATTTTTCGGTGTTGAACACCATCAGGTTCTCATCTGCCCATTTCACGAGCCTGTCAAGATCTGCCTGGATCACCCTCCGTTCCTCAGGTGTGGATGCTTTACCGCAGAGTTTGGTGCCATCGGCAAACTTGGCCAGCCCGCTTTTGACACCGATGTCTACATCATTGATAATAATGATGTGGATCTGGCTGTGGCAATAATTCGTGGCTGGTTCCCATCATACCTTAAATTGCACATGTGGCCAGGCATCAGCTGTTAGCAATTCCCAGCCTCTGAAATGCATGGGAACCCTTGCCTCCCAAACATCCCTGAGGCTGGAAGTCCTGATCAGCTGCTGCTCCCAGCCTTGGGGGTGCATCAGCTGACTGGCTTTCTACTTGCCAGTGCATGGGAGCCTGGGATCCCCCCGCACCAGCAAGATGACATGATGAGGATCTGATATCTGATTCCTTAATCAGGCCTCTTGCCATGTATGTGTAGTATGGCAGAAGTCTGATCATTGGGATCGCAGATCAGATCTCATGGTGCCTTTAAATTAATGTCTGCAAGGGGCCCAAAGAGGATGAAGGGCAAATGACACCAAACAGATTGATTGCTGACAGAAGTTAAAACTCCCCATTCTCCAAATCACACCACTCCATCAGTTCTTCTCACTGTGTCAACCTTGTAAACATTTAGTGCCCACTGCAATAAGACTTGTGCAAGTCTGGTCCCATTGTACATTTTTAGTTATTTCACACAGGTATAAATAAAAAATAGTGGCAAACATTTATGGACAAATCCAGTGTAATGTGATCAAAGTACTGACCTGACTGATGAAACTGCGAGCTCAGATCCTGATCAAGTGGAAAACTGAGAGCAGAATGCTGCGGTGATGTATAGGGAGAGCCTCCATTTACTCTGGAATCTGACTCAGGCTAAATTAGATTTAAGAGAAAGAGATTCATTATTACAGCAATGTGAAATTCTTATAAACTGTATGTTAAGTGAATGTGCATGGATACAGGTTGCTCTCTTTCTTCCCTTCCTCCTTTTATGTTATTTCTTATTTTTTCACTGATTTATATCTGCTCCACTGTGGGCTGGTATCTGCCAGTGATTCTCAATCGTGATGCTGGGGTACCCTGGGGTGACGCAAGATCCTTTGAAGAGTGACACAGGAAGCACAGAGATTTAAGCCAGGGGTGAGAAGACAAGCTGATAAAGGTAAGCTCAGCCTTCAGGCATGAGATAATAAGCAAATAAGGACAGGCTCAGTCTCTCCCAGTCAAGCTGCACCCCCATCCTCACTGCTTTCCTCCTCCGCTAGGAGGTAAGCCCCGTAATAAATTAGTTTTTGAAATGGGGTGCCACTAAATTCACAAAAGTTATGGAGGGATGCCTCAAGTCTGACAAGGAGTGCCTTGAGCCAAAAAAAGGTTGAGAACTTCTGGTCTCAACTACTTTTTGAATGAACTTGTTAAACAGTTTGATTAGATCTCACTGGTAGATCCAGATGTGCAGGCATGTGTGTGGTCTGGGGTACTGCAAACCTCTTTACAGCACCATAAACCGCACGAGTTGCACCTTACTCAGTGCACGGTGCTGCTAATTTGCAGTGTCAGGACAAAATTTTCAACCAGGATTTTCCCTGGAAGAAGTGGTGCAAACCATGCCATCTGAAGAGCCATTGAAGAGCCCCCATACTGAGGCATGTGAAGCCCCTGTGCTGAGGCACACTGCGCCCCAGGGCTGCCTGCTTCCCAGTCTCGAGGCACACTGTGCCCCAGCCAGCTCCTGCTTCTCAATCTCAAGGCACACCGCCCCAAGCCAGCTGCTTTGCCCAGGCTGCCGGGGCACAGGGTGCCTCAGTGCAGGGAATGGCTCTAGCTCCTGCTAAGGCACTCTGTGCCCCCACATCCCCCAGCCCATGGAACAACAGGAAAAAGCGTCCTGCTGCAAAGCACACAAGCAGGGGCAGGCACTGCAGCAGAAAGGAGCAGCACAAATTTACCACTATTTGTGCTGCTGCAAGGGCATGCCCCTGCTCACGTGGATATGGCCACTGGAATCAAAATTAAGCTTCAGATAGCTCCTTGAGACTAAAGCAGTATTTGGTTGTGTGCTTTTGTGCCGTACGGGTAGATCTAAGAGGTGGTAATTACTAAAAATATTGGGAAAGATTTTGTTCAAGCCCTCCCAAAATGTAATATTCAAAAGTGACTATTGTGAACAGTTCTAGATATACAAAAATCAGGTTTTTACATCTGAAGCAGGTTTTCAGCCTTCACTTCTCTCTTTGCTATCATCTAGCCTTTTGAATGCAAATTACTCACACTATCTAACAAATGTCATATTTAATTAAACCTTAAAAAGCAGCCGCCGAAGTTACACACAAAAAATTAACTTTTTAACATTCTGATTTTGGAAACAGTATCTATACTGAAACAGTACCTAAAATGACTATAAATGAGGTTCAATCAATGCAGGGAAAGCCAAATATGTAAAAACAATTAACTTTTGTTCTGGAAAAAACCCTGCTCCCCTTTCCAACTCAAACATTCACTTTCCTCACACAACTTGAAGATTAAAAAAAAAGAAGAAAACCTGAAAATTGTTCAGCAATGCAAATTTTTTCACTTTCATATTTAGTAGAAATTAGGAAGAAAATTTCCCTTGGGCACTTCAACCATATGGCCTTTCCCCTATCCAAGTCTCATCCTTTCTTCATTAGGACAACAGTAATTCCAGTTTGAAGAAATAAGATTAATCAAGAAATACTTATTTGCATTCAGGCAATAAAGAGAAATGAAAATACTTTCAGATTACTTAAGTACTTTATTACCAAGAAGGTCCCATGCATTGTAGCTGCATGTTAAGTAGATAAGTCACTTGCTACTCACTGTCAGGTCTACATGCATCTAGAGGGTCTAGGTAAAATCAGTTTTGCTGCTCTAAAAAGAGGGCTCACTCTTTTTAGTGGAAGGCTGGGATAGCCTCAAAGTCATCACATAATGTTGTGTACAGATGACAATCTTGGCTCAGGTACAGCCTAGAACTGTACTGGCCAGAGCTTGAAATAACTCTCATACATTAATGGAATTACTTCACTTAGGACAACAATTTCCTGAACAACAAAGCCAGTAGCAGGGCAGAAAAGCAGACTTGAGATTAGAAAGCCAGAGAAAATATGAACTGTCAATACTGCTAGAATTGTGCCTCAATTCAAAGTTATAATTGTGTCCAGAAAGGTTCAGAGAAGGATACAGAGCATTAGTATTTTGACCTGACTTCATACAGTGTGTTACTATGGCAGTAGACACTTTGGAATTAAAGGTATAATGGGGTCAGCCTAAGCCTAATAAGAAATTACAAAACCAGGATTTATTTAGGATGGAATGGAGATGTGGATGGACCCAGGTTATAAGGCAAAAGTGAAAACTGATTTGTCCCTCTTAGGTATGCTTTCGTACTCAGAGAACAAGGGAGTTTGCTAAATTCAAAGACTGACAAGCTTAGAACAAACAGAAGGAGAGGTCATTGGTTGGTCTATGGAACCCACTGGTACTGAAGTTGAGAATCAAATATTGCAGCTGCATTTTAAACAAGGTGAGACATTTTTAAAACCAAGACACAACATTTGAGGCATGCATACTTTTCTTGAATATACAGATAAAGGTAACCAAATCCCACACTTCAAGTGATCACTGCAAGAAAGTATATGCCTGTTTTGAGTACACTACTGCTGGTGGCATAACTGAGGCAAAGTGGACAGAACAACTGCCCTGGGTACTGACTTGGTGATATGGGTGTGGGGGAGTGGAGACAGCATTCCAGATTGAGCCAGTTGCTAAAAAAATACATCTTTTAATCAGACGAGCAAAAGGGTTTCACCCTTAACTCCCACCCTTGAAAAAAAAAAAAAATCACATTCCTACTGATATGGAAACTTGGGCTCAAAATGGCTAAAGGTTTTTTCCAAGGGTACAGAGTACACTGAAACCCCCAGAATCCCAGCTCCCAATAAATGGTGTACCCACAAGACCCGAGTAGCAGAACAATTAAACGCTCTAACCTCTCCTCCATCGGCCACTCACATGCACTGCAGAAAATTTCAGACATTCATATTTGAAGCCGGCAGGAAGTGACAAGTCAGATACAAAAATAAGCCTGGATGCTCCCTTGTGCATGGACTGCTTTGTGCCAGGCTGCTGCACAGAGTCAGAAAAAGCATTGGGAGAGGAAAGCTCCCATCTCTAATTTTTGTAAAGATGGAAAATATGTTCATATGAAAAGAAATAAAGACAGAAGGTGCAAGCAGCGTTTTCCCCTGAGAATCTGAAAATTCAGAGGCAATTTTATGGCAGACTGGAACACCTATTACAGAACACTCCTTGCATTTGTCTTTTCTCAAGAGTGACCTAGGAAGAGTTTAGAGCAGTGGTTCTCAACATTTTTAGACTCGAGGCATTCCTCTATAACTATTGTGAATTGAGCAGCACCCCACTTCAAAAACGAATTTATTATAGAGCTTTTCTGCTTCAAGGGGGGCTGAGGAGGAGAAGGAGCCACTTTCAGGCAACAGCCTATGACATGACTCAGTGAGTAGGGGAAGGAGGAATGGCTGGAAGGAAAGAGCCTGCACTTATCCCACAGGAGCCGGTGCTTATCTCCTCTCTCCTGGTGGTAAGAGACTCTTATCTCTCTCTCTCTCTCTCTCCTTCCCTTGTTACCTGCTGCTGCTTTGGGAAAGCCAATGAGCCACAAAAACCCTTCAGGTGTCCACCTTATATATCTCAACTAGTGACAACTCCACTCAACCAGCTACAGAACAAGGTAATCTCTTCCTCTGCTTTTTAACAGAAAAGTAGAGACTGTACTCCACCCCTGTTTCTCCTTAGGGGATGATCCTTTGCTTCTAAGTAATCTAGTAAACTCTAAAAATGAGGCAGACCAGAATGCTTGCTGCCATCTTGGTCTTCCTTGCTCTGTGCCGAGAGCTGCTGTCTCGCTCTCATGCCCCTCTACTGTAGCCACCACTGTCCCTTACCCCTTCTTGCTAATTCCCATCACCACTGACTGCTACAAGTGATGACATTTGGTGGTGAGAGAAGCAACAGCTGCAATAAGTGAGCATGTGAAAGACAGCAAGGAGGGCTGGGATGGCCACAGGTGAGGCTGCAGCAGAAAGTGGAACAAAAGAATGAAGGGGCACACACAGAAGGTGGGGATCTGGGGCACCCTCTCTAGGTCAACACTTTTGTCAGCGTCTCTGCCTTTACTTATGCTGCTGTGCCACAGTCCAGATGAAATCAGGTGGCAAACTGGGATCCAACCTGTGGGCCATAGATTGCTGACAACAAGGAAAGAATCATCACAGTATTTAATGTCTCTAGTAACAAGGACATTTTACATTTCTTGGAACCTGTAGGGGCTGAAGAAGGAAAGACAATATTTCTCTTTAACATGTTGGTGTCAAAGCTGCCACATGCTAGTTCTGTTTCACCTTCCTGTTTGGCACTATAATCAATCAGGAGGACAAAAATGACAACATTGTGTGACAGCTACCAATCTGCTGGGCTTCTTATAATAAAAATAGCATGCTCTCATCTGAATTGTGACCTAAAATAGGTGACTACATATGTGAATGCATATGCATATTCCTGTTAAATTTACTCCCTGAAGAGTTTCCTCCAGGGCTTGCATACATCGATCAGACTATTACAACTGAGCAGCTTTTAAGTTTCATGAGATCCCTCCTCTTCCCCCCTCCCTACACATCTGCATCTCTTGGAGAAAAAACATCCCAAATGATTTCAGATTCACTGACAGGTTATTAACCCAAATGACAATCAGAGGGCTATACACGGTATCTAGGCAGCTGAATGAAAGGGAGAGATTTGCAGTTGACAGAAGACACTGAGTTAAGCGATACCATAAAATGGCAGTTTTGGCCAGGGATAGATGTAAATAGGACACCATTAGTTTTTAAACAACTACTAGTGATGGCTATAAAAGAAAAACTGACATTCAGCCTAATGAGAGTTTCCCATATAAATTGTCCATCTCATCAGCAGAAAGAATGATCTTTAAACTTACACTATAAAGGAAAAAAAAACAGAGTTCTTTGAGGAAATGGAAAAAGTTAGGGAGAAGTGATAAATAATTGCCCTTCCAAAGAGCCTTTGATGAAATTCTTCACAGAGACTACCATAGACAGTTGGTAGTGGCAAGCTGAGAGGTTATGTTTGGTCATTGGCCAGGAACTGGTTGAGAGAAAGAAAACAAACAGGAGGGATAAATGGCCAAATCTCAGCCTGGAAGGAGATTAATAGTGGGATGTCCCAATTATCCACTAGGATTAGTGGTACCTAATCAATATATTAATGAACTGGAAATTCACAGCAAACAAGTTCAAGGTACACTGGATGGTAACATTTGAATAAGTCATGAACAATGACAGGTTCTAAACAAATCTTTCAGGGGGGGAAAAAAAAACATCAGGACATCCATGTAGGCTCTTCATGAAAATATCTGCTCAATGTATAGTGGTTAAAAAAATAAATAATAAGCAAGCACATATTAGGGTCATTACAAAAGCATGGTGAAAGCTACCAAAGCATTATATACACCAGTGGTCCTGCACTTAGATTACTGGGCTCTGTCCTGGTTCCCCCATCACCAGAAAGATTCAGCAAAACCAGAACTGACTCAGGGAATGGTTGGCAGAATGATAAACACAGAAGTTTCTCCTAATGTTGAGAGAGACAAAAGACGGACTGGTTAAGTGTGAAGAGGCAAAGAAGAGGTGACTTACGGTATGGAAAAGCATTTACTTGAAGCACTAAGAATTTCCAGGGAATTTGCAGAGCCACAAAAATGATGCCTGATGTGTAGAGCTGTTCAAGTGCCCTTTTGTCCAGAGCACTACAAAGGATAGCAAGAGCATGTACTGCTGATGCTCCACAACCATGGGGGTGGGACATGCTTGGCAGGGGCACCCTGCTTCCAGAGGTTTTTGAGGGCAGCTAAGCAGAGCAGAAAATGCCAACTGGCTGGTGAACCCAAGGACCACACCTACCCAGGGACTTCTTCCTCGCTGGGAGCATAGCACCACATCTCCCCGAATCAGTTTCCATTCCCCGAAGCTCATCTGTTATGTTTCTTGCCCAGAATTGATCCCTGCTGCCTGCATGCCCTAACCAGCTCCTGATTCAGCAGTGCAGGGAAGCCATGTGCATGCTACACTCCTGCTGGGACAGAGTCAAGGCCTGCCACCTCTTATATGACAAGGCTGTGTGCAAGCTGGTACGCAGCACCAAACATGGCCATGAGGACCTGACCAAGGCTCTGGTCATAAGTGTTCTTCAGCTCTGCTCTTTGTCCCCTGACAGCAACATGGCTGATAATGAGGACAATGTCACACTGGACATCATGCAGGTTTGGGTGCTCATAGACCACTTTTTAGACTGAGTACTGGTTTCTAGGGCAAGCAACAAGAACTGGGGGCACATCATTCGGGGGACCTGAGATAACAAGCAGTGGTAGGAGAATTTCAGGATGTGCCAAGCCAGCTTGGAAGATAAACCCTCAACCCTTGCTTGACAGGATATTAGCATAAAGGTACCCCTCACTGTGGAGAAGTGAGTCACTATCATCTTCTGGAAGTTCACAATCCCAGACAGACTTTGGTCTGTTGCCAACCAGTTCAGTGGGGGCAAGTCCACAGCAGGACAGGCACCGTGTGAGGTGTTCCTAGTTATCCAGTGGGTGCCAGCACCCAGCTTCATCCACTTCACCACCCACAGGAGGAGAATGCTGCCAACCTTGCAAAGTTTAATCAGCCAAGTGTTCTGGGGTCACGCACTGCTGCAACCCTTTAGGCCCAAAAGTTTGCTAAGAACTTTTTTCCAAGTACTCATTTGGTCTAATAAAAGATATCACATCTACCCAGAGAAGCTTGACTCCCTTAGCCTCACAGCACTCATAGTGCTCTGCTTGGTTCTGGGCTTTGCCTAAATGCACAGAGCCATGCAAAGCACATCTGCACTTCCAGCAGAGATACCTTTATGTGTCTCTGCTGGAAGTGGCCCTTGGCAAATAATGGCCCATGAGGCTGTGCTGCTACCTCGGCTTCAGCATAGCAGTACTCAGCAATCCCCTTCATCCAGAGGCCAGAGATGTATACAGGACAGGAAGAGACAGTTATACTCCACAGGTTACATGAAGTAAGTTACATGAGGTAGATTCACGCTGTGTTCCCTGGCTGGTAGCAGTGAAGCTGCCAGAGTGATTCAGTTTGAAGAATCTGCAAAACAGTCAACAGAGTCAGCTCAAATTGGGCAGTGCTCTGGGAACAGTCTGCGATCTGCTCCCATGTGGACTGGGAAGGACTGTCTTCTACATAGACACAGACAGATCTGAGAAGCAAGTCTGCATGGCAACATGTGTGTGTGGCTCCACATTCCTGGGACAGCAGAGTTCAACATCAGTTACAGACAGACTTCCTGGAGCCAGGGCCGACTGAAGAGCAAAGCATTCTGGGATGCTGGAGGACTGAGTCATGTCCAATAGCATCACATGCAACTGTACAAGTATTACACACAGTGCAAGAAAATGTCACGCTGCCAAGAATTTCCTGTTGGAAAGAGGTAACATTTTGTGACATTGGCCCCCTTTTCTGTGCTACAAATTGCCTGTATGGCTATACGCCCACTTTTCACAGCACTAAACAGGTGTATTTTGCACTACAAATGTAAGACTTGTCTATGGCTATAATGGGTTTAAAATTGGGAATGGTGTAGTAAAGGTGAACTGTGTTTGCACAGAAAACAAGACGTAGGGAACACCTAAAAATCGAAAGGCGAAGCTAATAAAACACCATCATCACTGCTGTTGTTCTCGTTTTGTCCAACACAATTTACCTTCAAAGCCACATGAAGTTTATCAGCCTATGGTTCCAAAAGGATTACACAATTATATGACTAATGAGCAGATCCACCATTACATTAAAAAGAATAAAGTTTTAATGGATGGAAATGCTCTTGCTTTAAGACATAAGCCAATTACTACCTACTTTGGGCTCAGCAGAAACTTTCCCTGTGTGCATGTTATTGCTCATCTTGTTATTATGAAGGTTTTAAACCTTCTTCTAAGCACTTAGAAACAGCCACTGTTATATTAAATACTGTCCAGATGGATCACTGACATGAACCCTGTGTCAGTTACTATCATCATTTCTAAACACTTAAGCCACTTGAGGATGGTAAAAAATGTCAGGAAGACAGCACGAGTGGATGAGGTCCTCCATTAGCAGAACCAATTTATCACCAGGGAAGATGCATTTTAATACTCCTGTATCTTTAATACTCTTTCTTTTATTACTCTTTTATCAGAACTACCTGCAGAAACTACATGCATAGGTCAGACTTCTTCTTTGGCCTCTCTTCTGGGACTGCAACATGGGTGGGATAGTTCCACAGTATGGGGACATTTGTTTTACGGGATGTGAAAAGCTGGTTTATTAGGAACCAGCTGAGGACACCTATCTGGCCCATGAGGGACTAGGAATATTTGTTACACTGAACTTCAGTTTATCTGAATCAAATTTGAAAGCGAACAGTGATGCAAACTTCTGAAGTCATCCAGATTCCTACAGTTTAAACAGAAAAACCAAACCAGTCCTTACAAGCCAATTCTTTCTCTATCCAGGTAAAATTTTGCAAGTGATACCAATACAACCTGCCATGTTGCAAGATGTAAAATAAGATCCCAAACACCACTGAGATTTGCAAGAAGGCTGCATCTGTCACATTCAGTTGTACCTATACTGCCAGGTACATACATGATTCAAAAGACCTAGTGGAGGAACAGTCTAGTTTTCCAGGCTTTTCTTTGGAATTATCTTTTCCATTTTAAGGCCAGGATGCTTGATGTGGTCATCTCTGTCATAGTCAGTCTGAAAAAGGTGTGGTGCCCAACTTCAGCTATGGGGAGCTGTGGACTAAATGGATGCGTTGTGTGGCTGGGATGAATGGTTGTAGGAGGGTATATTTTTTTTTACCTTTTTCAGTTAGTTTGAAAACAAGCACTATACTTGTGTGTTGTTGCCTGCATTGTGCTGAACTTATCATAGATGTTTCTCGAGTTCCTGGAAAAGCACTGTAAGTGAATGCCTTGATAGTAATGCCACATGTCACTCATTATCAGCATCATCAGCTGCAGTTTGCCTGTTGCCAGACAGTTGCAGGGTGCTAAGAACCCTTTGTTACACAAAATGGTCTATTTTAAGAAAAAAATGTCAGTTTTTATGGATAGGGAATTTCTGAAGATCATTTTGCTTCACTTTTGATTTTGGCTATTACAAATATATCTAGAAGTGAAAGTAAATATATACACACTTTGTTGAACCCCTATGTGAACACTGAGTGCACTAAAGTAAATTGAAATGTCCACTGAACATGTGTTTGCAGACTTGAAAGCCATCTCATCCTCACCAAAGTTTGCAGAGGGTGCTGCTGTGTGCCGTTGTGTATTTACCTGCTCAAGTAGCTGCCGTAACCGGTGAAGCTGAGACTCCAGTTGCTTATTGTGATCTTCCAATATCTGCATTCTGGCCTCCAGGCGACCTTTATGTTGCCTTAGGAGTTTGGCCTCAGCAATGAGCTCAGCATCTTCAGAAGTGTGCAGGGGAGCTACAGCAGAGTCCGGGGGTGACCCGAGAGGGTTTATGCTTTTCCGAAGATGCTGTTCCTTTAGCTGTTCATATTCCACCTGCAGGTTCCTAATAAAATTAATGAGGAAAAATAGCGAAGATTACATTTCATGACAATATATGTGGAAAAGAAATTTAAAATCTCTTCCCTAATCCAGTAAATCTTTTCATCATCTGTATCTATGGGGTTTAAATAGCTTAACCTAAGATGCTGTCTGGACTCCAAGTGTATGATAACAGCAGCACAGATATGTAGGAGTGAAACAGCTACTCACTGAAAGGAAGAGTGTTTACCCAACCCCAGGAGCTTTGTCTGCAAAGAGTCGTGTTGCTCAGAGTGTTTGATTTTCCAACTCCTACTAGAACCTCTGACTTCAGTGATTCTTTTGGTTCTTGTCTCATTTTATGCAACCATGATAAAATGGCTTGTTTATGATTAAAGATGACTTAAAGTTGAGGTACAGAAAGGGAAGACGACCAGACCTTTGCTCTTCCTCAAGGTCAGCAATGATGCGCTCCAGCTCTCCCCGTTCCTCCTTTTCCACTGACTTCAGGATCTGAGCAGGACTCTGAGGTTGGCTCACTGGTGATTCTCCTCCCAGAGTTTGACAGTACTGCTGGATAAGGGCATGCTCATCTTCCCTAGAGTAACGAAGCAACATAGATGGAGATCACTCGCACACACGTGCCACTGAGCTAATAACTCTGCTAAGTTTGTCTTAAAAAAAAAAGAAAAAGATGGCTTGAGGAGAGGTATGTGAACTGCCAAGAATTTAGGGTATAACTCTTGTCACAGCTGTGTGTGGGTGAACAAGATACGTCAACATTTTGCTGACTTGTTCCTGACAAACATTCTGCAATTTAAAAAAGATATATAAACACCACAACCTAATACATGAGAAAGAAACATCCTTCTGCATCATTCTGGGGCTAATTTATTTGAAATGCACAAGGAAAGCACAATAGCTGTTGATGTCTCTATAAGAAGCATATAAGCCAAAATCCAAATGGCTGAAAAAGTGGTAAGTCAGCAATGACCCATTTCAAATGCCTTAAAGTGAAAGAGAGAGAGAGAGAGAGAGAGAGAGAGAGAGTGTGTGTGTGTGTGCGCGCGCACACAGGCACACCATGTTGGTTTTTTGACAGCTGTTGCATCTTTCAACAGTAAATAGCTGGCACCGTGTCTCAGGCAGGAGAAAACAGTAAGCCTCATACTCCACCTACCCTGTAAAAGTTACAAACAGCAGTGTTCACAGTACTTTTCACATGGGCAGAGGTTTGAAAAGTTACCACAAAGAAAGGCAGATTGGGGGTTCAATAGGGTGGACTGGCAGTGACATGAGAAGAAAGGAGACATTGGCTTGGAACTGGTCCTGAGTCTCCCAGTCTTTCAGACTGCGGTGTTCATGTAAGTCATACATCAGGTTCTTTGAGGGAAGTACGAGATTACTTCCAACGAATACAATCCATTCATGTTTAAAATAATTAATTTGTCTTGCCTGTGGTCAAAGGAGAAGTTACTTGAAAGACCTGAATGTCTCAGTTATGGCTAGAACATTCTGTTGAGCCTATTTTTCTACATGCCCACTCTTTTTGTACCCTATGGGCACGTCCACACATGCACGCACATGTGCTTGCAGCAGCTCAAATAACAGCAGCACAAATTTGTGCCAGACTTGTGCCTCAGCATGTGCACTTGAACATGCACTTTGGTGCGGGCCAAATTATGCCACTTGGGGAACACTGGCCCTGTCCAGCTCCTCCCAGATCTTCAGCCAGGGGGAGCTACGGGCTGGGGCCAGCACCTGTGCTGACCCCAGCAGCATAAAAAGCTGCCCTTGTGGGCAGCTCAGGGTTACTTGCCCTCAGGATTTTCTGAGGCCCGGCCAGTTGGTATCTGGGGACACTAGCCCCTTGTGCCAACTGGACTGCTGAACCAGCCCAAACCTGGAGTGCACCCTCTACCCACTGTATCACTCTGGCAGTGAGGGCTGCTGCCTGGCTGTGACCTGCTGTCACCTAAAACAGCATCTGCCCCTTTGAACCTGAGGCCCCATGGCTGCGTTCCTGCCAGACCCAGACAGGGACCACAAGGCTACCTGAGCTGTGGTTTGGGCACTGCAGCAGAGCCACCTGCACTCCTCGGCCAGCTGCCAGTGGGCTGCGGTGGCACAGTTGATCTTCAGGCGGCACTGCTGTCATGTCCCCGCTCTGCCATCTGGGCAGATGTACTCCTTGTGGTGGCCCACTTCAAACTGTCAAAGCATGTCCTCCTGGCCCCAAATGGCCAGGAGGTCAGCCACCTCATCTGCCTTCCAGCTGGATCCCCAGTGCTGGTCCTAGGCAGGCTCCTCTACCCGGGTCCTGCCACTTGCCTCACCAGAAGGGATCCTGGTGTTCCCTGTTTGAAAATTGCAAATTCTCTGATAAAAAACCCAAATTCTCACATTACAATACCCAAAATCCATGTTCTTCCATGATTAACATGAAATACCGTTATATAGAGAGAGGTCAGTTCAGCAATGTTTTGTTGATATATTTGCAAGTTTAAAGCATTTTGGAAGCCTACCAATGCCTCTATCATCATAATAAAACAAATTCTAAATATCTATACACTTTGGTGTTTGCTTTTGGGTTTTTTTAATCATAGAAAAATCAGAGCTGCCCCTGCCCCTTTTGCTCACCAGGATGTGGGGCGCTGAACAGCACTGATATGCCAGTGTGCTGCCCCAGCCCTTGCTCCTCACTCCAACCCGCAGTCCCTGCCTTCTCCACTAGTTCTCTCCTGGCAGCAGCTCCATCCTAGCATCAGGACATGAGTCCAGCTGCAGCTGTCCTACCCGCTGCTTGATGGCTCTGAGCAGTGCCCCACACTGCTGTTCTGCTCCATGCGGCTGTGCCCAGGCCCCAGGGATCCACTTGCCATTCCTGGGCAGCCCTAAACTGGGCTGGGCAAGCTGCTTCCCTTCCAAACTGGCCTCCCCCTGCACAAGCTGCTCTAGAGGGCTCTAAGCAGCTTCTCCTACCCAGAGCTCTTCCCCACCCACAACCCAATCTCTATCACACACACCCCTGCTGCCACCTCCACTCCTCCCCTCAGCCCATTACACCCACAAAGTGGTTCCTGGGACCAGGAGCCTCCCCACAGGCTGAGGCTGCATGTCCCAGCATCAGTGTGGACATGGGGCAGGGCTGCAGTTTGGCAGTTGCCCCTGCAGCCACAGTTCCTGCCAGCAGGTCCTGTCCCATCCTATCTGGTGGTTGGGCATGCAGGGTGTAAGATTTGAGGGGATGATACGGGTTTTGCAAGGGGAAAGTGTGTGGGGTTTTCTGGGGAGAGTTGGGGGGATCTGTGGGTGGGTATAGTGTTTGTGGGGTAGTGTGGGGTTTGTGGGTGAGTGAGGGATTCATGAGGGGTGGTTTAGGGGTGTGAGGTTTATGGATGGATTGTGGGGGTGTATGTGGGTATTGGGGGGCTGTGTGGGGTGGGACAGACTGCTTAGGAGAGGTAAGTCCCCTGCCTGCTCCCAGCATGGAGCACAGCCCCCCCGCAGCAGCAGCAGCAGCAGCAGCAGCAGCAGCAGCAGTTGCGGTGTTCATGCCCGCTCCTGGCAGAGACCCCTGGTGGCGCAGTGCCGCCTCAGACCAGCGGCTGCACATGGCACTGGCCTGGCCACTGGTGCACACCTTCAAACAGGACTGGGCCACTCTTGCTGCCACCCATGGTTTCTGGCAAGCAGGCAGAAACTGCATGCTCTTGGCCCAGACCACGTCTTGCCTGCACGGAGCTGGCCTGCCCTATGGCACATGGGGCACACGGAAGCAGGATCCAGCCCAGCTCAAGGGCATGCAGTTTCTGCCTGTGGTGCTGGAAAGCTGCGGGTGAGAGCTGAGGGCGTGCAGGCCGGGCCGGCGCCATGTACAGCTGCCAGTCTAAGGCCGTGCAACATCACTGGGAGTCTCTGCCAAAAGCAGGCACGAGCGCCCTGACAGCTGCTGCTGCTGCTACAGAGGAGCTGTGCACCATGCAGGGGGTGGGCAGGGGATCCACTGCTCCCAAGCAGTCACCCCCAACCCACAGTCCTTCCACCCCCAAACAGTCTCCCTCCACCCACACACAGTACCCTCTGACCCCCACGTCCCCACTTACCTGGGACAGCGCCTGGGTTTGATCCACTGCTGCAGCCTTGCTCCACTCTTATTTGCCCCAGGACTCTGAGGCAGCTTGCTGGACAGCGTTCCCTTTAAGCTGTGCGTTGTGCATGGCTGTGCAGGTGCTCTCATGCCACGCTGCCAGGCATGCCTGCATGGCCACACATGCCACACAGCTTAGAAGGAGCGCCGTTGCTGGAACAGGAGGGACATTCGTCAGCCATAGAGATGCTCTGGCCAGGTGCCATAGCATCACTCTGGAGGACCCAGCCTATGCTGTTTTTTTCCGGCATGTTATTTTTTCATACAAAGATTTCCCAGTGTCAAATTTAGAGTCCATGCTGCAAATATGTAGTGTGGGAAACATTTTTTTTTTTTGTTTTTAAGAGTGCCTCTAGCAGCATCTCAAACTGTTTTGAGACACCACAACAGGCACATGCTCGCTTGTCTGGATGCGGCCTATGGTGCTAAATCAGCAGAAGATTTAACAGAAGGAACAGGCTGCAAAGTAAAAGTGAAAGAGTGATCATGCCTGCTATGACTTAAGTTGAATCTGCTCCAACAGTGGGGAGAGAAAGGGTAGAGAGGGATGGGGAAAGTCATGAAGGGTGAAATTCTGGTCCCTTTAAATATATTAAAAGTTTTGCCACAGACTTCAGTGGTACCAGGAATTCACACCTGGAGCATAATTAGGAATCTGCATAAGTTCATGCTTTTTACTGAGTACAGAAGCAACAATCCTTGGAAAAAAATGGACTGCAGCGCAAAGGAATGATAGAACCTCAAATACTAGAAAATAAAAATTAATTCAACACCTTTTCAACATAATCCATGAGTCAGAAATATAAGAAATCTAACCCATAAACTATCTGCTGATGAGTTATAATGACTTCTTTCTTTAAATCACACCATCTCTCCATTTTTTAGATTGCAAGCTAAATGTTAACACATTTATTAAAAATAAGTTGTTTCCCGCTAATGACCGAAAGAGTAAAATTTCCCCGTGCTGTAGCTATATAGCTAGAAAACTATTATGCCAAGATCCTTCCTAAGCAATAAGCAAAAGCCTTTGAGGTAAGGTGCTAGTACAGACCTCTGAATTCCCAGAGGAAAATTATTTAACTCAGTAGTTATTTAACCAGTCTCCAGAATTACCTTACTGCAAGTCTTTTCTTCTTGAAACAAAGAAATAATAAATGTAGAGTTAAAGCAGATATTTTATGAATAGCAAGTTTCCTGTTTGGGGAAAATCTGATCTTAAAATGGGAACATATAACTTCTTTAGGGTCTAATTCAGATGGACATTGGCATGCTACTAAACAGCCTACTTCTCTTCAACAAAGTTTAATTCATGTCCTGAACTTTTTGTCCATGATAACAATAAACTAACTATTGATTCCTCAATCCAACTAATAGTACTGCCATATAATACAAAAGAATTCCCGACCAATGCCTTTTAAAAGAATTAAGTTAATATGGAAAACTGGTTA